CAAACACTCGGACATTCGCGGGGTTCCCCGATAATTCTAGAAACTCCAGCGCGCATGCTCCCAGCGTCACGCGACTTCCGCTGTCGTAACAGTATCTCATTTTACAGAAGTCGAAAAGTTAAATGTCAATCTAGAGAAAATATTTTTATTGTCCCTTTATCAGGCCATCGTTAAGGCTGGACAACGTAGGCGGCTGCCTAGAATGTAAAATTCTTAGTGTTGTGGCTCCACTGTGGTAGGGACACAGCCATAATTTATGTCTAGGACGCCAGTTAAGCTATCGTGTAAATAAAATGATTGAAATTACATAATTACTGATCGTTCACACTTAACAATACTCTTCAAAAATATAGAAAATGTTTGTAATTAAGCACAAAGCTACACAATGGGCTATCTGTGCTCTGCCCACTACGGGTATCGAAACCCGGATTCTAACGTTTAAGTCCGCAGACATACCGCTGTGCCACTGGGGAGCATATAAAATATACAAAAAACAAATATCAAGACATTTCTAGAATATTGACAACTATTTAAAGGTCATAATAAGAATATTTCTTTACGGATATTTGGATAATGCTACTCAAGGGTTATTTGCATTATCTGTTCCTTATTTTAAAGAGATAGGATTAGAGGGAAGGAAGGTAGCTTTTAGGCTACTCTTATGTGATCAAATAGTTGGATTTCGCGATCAGTCCTACTCTCGGATACTCACCTCCAACAGAATTTAGAGGTGTGAGAAACACCATACGAAACTACTATTTATAATAAAATATGTTATAAACCTAACATAGTAGATTCTACGTTGTTATTTTGAAGTTATACAAAATTAGCATAATACTTCTGTGTTTCTCTCTCTCTTTTTGTTTTGTTTAGACTTTAGTGTTATATACACTCCATATTTTAATTGGTCCCGTAATAAGCAAGATTTCATGTATCCTTTGGGTTGGACACATCAAATGTAAAAATCGGGCTGATTACAGGAAGGTGGTGAGTGTTAATGTTTGAAGTTATAGCTTTTGGCAGGAAAACATTGGAGATGTTGCAACTTATATAAGTTGTTATTATTATGTATTTTTTGATCAACTTGTTTTAACAGTTTATGATATTTGGTTTGAACGGAAGTAAACTTTTCCCTAGTTTGAGATATTTTATTGTCAAAAATATTCAGAGTATGAGTATGACTCCGTTAGTTCGTATGACACAGAGTATGACTCAAGAGTAGTAAAATTTCAAATAAAAATAAAATATTAAAATTTCAGTGGCATTGTCTGATTTAATTAAGCTTCACAGTTTGTATTGATCACATACGTTTACTCTGGGCTGAAGCGCTAAAACTTTCAAGTTCCAGATATTACACAATTTAGACTTTAGTTTAAGTTTACTCTTACAGTTACACTCCGGCAGTGTAACTTACAGACAATTTCTTATATCATAAACAAGTGTGGGAAAAGAAAATCCGTAATTTTTGAATTAGTGTTTCTTCCCATGCTGGACAAATAACTTGCAAATACCTTTTAATTTAAGGGCTTTATTTCTAATTATAAATGCAAGGTAATACATTTAGCCTAGGATTATCATAATGTACAATCTCTGTGTTCTGATTAATTATAACCTCTTATTATCAAGAATACTAGAGAATTTATAGTACCAATACAACATTTTTACATATTTAATAGAGAAAATGCTAGGATGAGGAGACAAATTTTGTTAGGGTAAGAGTCATCATCAGCTTAGACAGTTTTACTTTTCTAATAGGATGGTTAGCATTTGGAATATATTGCCTATAGATATGAATATAAACCCAATAACCCGAGCGCTTTCAAAAAGTGGACCTTTCTTTTTCAGGGGCAAACTTTAGATGTGGTGGATCTAGTAAGTTTGAGGGAGCTTAAAGAGAATGTTCTCTAAATATTTGAATAATTGGGGCTGTGTTTAAGCTTTTTTTTTTTTAAGTGTATGTGACAGCCTCAATGGACCAACAGTCTCCACTCTCTCAACCATTTCCAAATTGAAAGTTAACAGTAAATGTAAAATACAATTGTAAGTAGGTTCCCAGACCAGTAAACCACCTTGAATGGTTTTTGAACACCTATCTTTCCTGTGGTTATATCTGAAATTAAAATCTCCCATAATTATGACTTCAGTAACAGCTTAAATTGTAATCTCACAAGCCCAAACATCCATTCCTTACATTCAACCCTGGCGAAACTGTACATAATCTCATCCCCACAATTAAGTCTCAACAGTATCCTTGATAATATTTTTAAAGTTATGACTATTTTCTTTAAATGCCCTTATCAACACCTATATTTATCAGTTAGTTTCTCTGACCTACCTTTCCTTACATCATTAACCCTTTTGTGCACAATAAAGGCTGCATCACTGCTAGCACTCTTAACTATCTCACTTGCTCCATCAACTGTGTCCTCCACCCTAGATCCTGAACGGCATAACCTAATTATTTTTTCCCTCTTTGTCCCACAAGCTAGCCTATTTACATGACTTTTAGAATTAACTAGATAAATTGCTCCCTGTATTAAGGTTAGTTATGTATCACCACCAGTAATCATAACTTTTTTTTTCTTTAACACCGTCATTTTAAACTTAAAAACAAAAAAGTCTTCCCACCTTTAAGTTCTCAATAAAATAGTTCTATTTTATTAACCCTTATTGAAAAAATGTTTATTAATCACAAATCTATAGGCATACACTGCAGTTTTAAAAACCAATTTTGCTACTTTGTTGAAAAAGGCTCAAAGGAAGGCTATCAGTATAATTCCTTAGATGGAGGGGGCTATCATTTGAGGACAAAATATGGTTTTTAAAATTATTTTCTCATGACAGAAGAAAGGTCAAAAGGGGTATGATGGAAGTGTTCAAAATTATAAAAAGAATAGATAGGATTGATACATCATCCTTTGTAGTGTTTAATTTAAGAGTGGTAGGGCTAGGGAACATTGATTTAAGGTTTGGCAGGGTTGAAATCATCTGGAAATTAGGCAGTTTCATTTTTCAAACAATGTGTTCAGCCTTTAGAATAATTGCCTTCAGATGTGGTAGATGCAACAGGATTGAGAAAAGTCAAGAGAAGGCTTGATGAAAACTTAGAGCATTAGGGCTGGGTGTAAGTAGATAAGTGTTTGATGAAATGAATAGAACTGCCATAATGGGCCAAGACACCCCCTTTTTTGTCCCTCAAAAGTTGTACTTTTCACCCTGAAATAAAATGGAAAATAGATATTTTCATAACAAAGAAAACTGATTCTGTACTGACTGTTGAATGGTGTGGTATTGTGCATTTAGGGTATGCTAACTTGTAAAATGACTATGTTGAAGAGGCATTGGTGTTGTATAAAAAAATAAAGAAGGTGGTTAATTGTGGTTCTTTACTATCCCCTAGACCTCCAGCAGAGTAGTAAGTTGTGGTAAAAGTAAGATTATTCTAACCTTGTATATGTAAGACCTAATTTGGAATTGTAAGTGGATTTTTGATCACTATATGACAGGAAATATATCGTATGTGAAAACATTGACATGGCTAAGAAGTCAAGAGTAAGAGAACTAAATTTTAAACACCTTTTATACATTTACAGAAGGTCATGTATACCTTAGGTAACTATAAACTTTGATAAAACTTTGAGTTATTTGAATTCAAAGTTTTTAATAAGTTTTTTCCTTCATAAATGCTAAAAATGCTGTGTGGCTTTTAACTTTTCTTCCCCATGTGAAATTATTCAATAAGCATAACATCTTCATTTACTATGTTACAAAAGAATGATTTCAATTAAGACATACAAAATAAAGATCAAAATACTTGCTCAGAGTGTGTTATTGTTTCCTTAGTATAAGAAACATGATAATATAAAGCCATTATATAAAAAAACAATAGAACTTCAGTTTTTGTGAATTATAAAAAATGCTTGGTTTACTTATATTTTAGAATTAAGAATAGTTTTAAAAGCAAAACAAAATACAAGTAGTAATTGAATGTGAGATAAATTAAAACAAATGTTTATGTTGTGAAGAGAATGTCTCATTTATGCCCAGATTTCAGACTTCTCATAAGCATTTAGCTCACTTATTACAAATAAAATTTTTATTTTCACAGTCCTTATAGATTATAAAAATCTTCTAAATTTATATCTTAATCTTGATTTATCAAAACTTAATAGTACCAATGATATTTAAAAAACTAACAGCAACTGAAATTTTCTCCAAAAATATCCAGTATTATAATTGCTTGTATCTTAAGTTTTGATTTCCCACTAGTAGTAGAACATAATATGGTGTATTACCCTTCATGCATTCTGTATGCTGTAACATTACATTTTATCTCCTAAAGTCAGTATGCTTCTATCATTAGTCACCTAAGTTTGTTCGCCTGATCTTCAATAATTTAGTCAATCTCTAAAAACAGATTTCTTACCCTACTTAAATTGAGCCTATTACAGTCAGAGGGCCTCCCCCTAATCTTAAACCTGTAAAAGAGTATGTTGTAAATTAAAATTTAGTTAATTTACAATGTACTCTTTTATTTAATCAACCTTTCAGTAATTGCACTCTGATGAAAATTTATGTATAATTTATAGTTTATGTGTAAGATTATTTGATAAGAAATCTAATTTTGGTTTAATTTAATTTCTTCTCAACTAAAAATTATCTATTTCTTGTGGCTTATGGTAATGATATCCAATTCATTTAGGCTAATCTACTTACCTGATATTCATTTTATATTTTTTTATCATATTCTTTATTCAGAATTGCGTAAACAAGCAAAGTTTGTTTTTTTTAATTTTAAGAAAAAGCATTTCCATACAACTTTTTTTTTACCAATTCAGTAGCAGATTCCTTTATGTTCCTTTAGCATACTTTTCTCATGATCCCATAACATAATTTTCTTGAGCTCCTTATTTTCTCAAGTTTGAGAATTCATTATTTTAAAATGAAATTGTCACATTTAGTTCTTAATCAGTTGGAAAACATGCTGAGGAAAGTTATCTATTTACTGTCTGGGGTGTGAATCACATGTATGATAAATGTGAAGTACTGTGCAGGCTACTGTTTTATGTAATGACAATTTGTGTTTTTATGATACTTGTACATATACTGAACTATAATATCATACAGTATAATTTCATGACCTAGAAATAAATATTTGTTCTTAACTGCAACTTGTATAATTATTTACTACAAAGCATGTTCTTTTTTATTATAAAATTATAAATACAATTGTAGCGACATTATCATGGGATAGCTGTCAACAGCCAATTGGAAACATACATCATGTGAACTAGATTTTTTTAACCCTGTTGAATACTGTTTTACTAGTGATTTTTTTTTTTTACAGGTAATAATTACAATTTTGTTTTACTGGATAACTGTTGCTGTCTTGTCTATGTATGAACCATCATATTCATGAATCAGAACAAGTTGTTAAGTAAAGCAGAAGATGTGGCAGATGAGGTAAGAACTTCCTTTCCATAAAAGTATTTACAATTACAAAGTGAGTAAATAACAGTAACAGCCTTTTCACTGACATATTATGGAAAACTAAGTTTAAAACACAAGAGGTTAAAAGTTAAAACACTTTCATTAAAACCAAATGGTTAAAAAACTGTTGAACTCTTCCACACAATTTAGTGTGTTTCTTGGTGGTTACTGGTCACAAATGTTTATATACTTTTAAGGATATTGTATTTATTAGCCAAAAACAAAATTGAAGATAATGCTGAATAGATTTAACTGTTAAGATACTCTTTAAAAATATCTTTTAAAGTGTATAGGTTGGTTTGAAATTGCAGCTTTTAATTATTGATTTACAACTAGAGATGGATATTATTAGAATTTGATAATCAAGTAATCATCAGGCTCATTAATTGATTATATTCAAGTAACCACTTATTCTCGTGAGACTTAGATAGTTGGAATAATCGGAAACACCAATTTTGGATAGTTGGTTACTTTTGTGAGTTGTAGTACTAATCGATTAAGCTGTACAGTCTTGAATTAATTGAAAGTAATAATGACAATAGTACTTGGATAGTTGGAATGATCAAAAACAGTGATAACTGGGACCACTGACTTCAATTTGTTAATTATTTTCATGACATTAATCAATTTAATCATAATTTTGATTAATCAATTATTTTACATCACTAATCGATGTAATCTCTTCTCATAGGTAATCAAGTTAACCACCCAGTTTTATTTAGAACACACTTTTTATAAAAACTTAAGCAACAAAAAAAAATGTAATATTTTTCAAAAGGCCTGAAACTAATCCATAATTATTGATTCTGGTGCATGTGTTGTTTTTATTATGAAATTTGTAAATACCAATCATGGTGAAAATTATTATGAAATAAATATTAAAAGTTAATTGGAAACATACATATATACAAGACTAAGAGTAGCAATCCAGATCTGAGACAGTGATCTTATTTAAATAAAACATGAAAAGATGCTATTCAAAGGTCTCATCTTACCCATATTTAATTACAGATGAAAGTGATTTTTTTATAGAAAGTTCTGGTTATTTTTTTATTCAAAAATTGTTTTATGATTTCAAATATAGCTATGCATAAATCAGAGATGTGATAGACAAAATTATGCAGTCAGGTATGAATTCATGATATTTTAGGGATATGGATTTATCTGTAAGTCAACATGTTATCAAATCATAGCTCATCTACATTTCAGTTTTTCTTGTATACCTGAGGTTCTTTAAGGTGACTATATCTGGTTTGTGCATTTATCAATAAGCCACTATGTTATCAGACCCTGAAAATTTCACTCTTACTGGTCTTAACTTCATAAAACATGGTGACCCAGAGGTTGTAATGACTGTTGCAGTTCAACAATGACAGCAGCATCTGCTATAAACATCATGAAAACCCTCAATTAGACAATCACCAATGCAAGCTACAAATCCATGTTTACATGAAAAGGTAACATGGCAAGTGGTGCTAAAGATTGAACATTTCTGCCTGTCCTTATTGGCAACATTTCTGTGTATCTAGCTGTCGGTTGCCAGAAATCCCTTGTGGAAGTTAGGTCAAAACACTAATTGCAGAGGTTTACATTATGCTGTCCACAGTATAGCCTTACAATGCTAAACTCAGGTGAACCAACAAGAACTACAGGGCATCAAAGTGTCGGAGACTTGTATAGACCTCGCTTTTGCTAATCCTCACTTATAATGTCATCTCTACCTGGCATATGGTACATAATGTGTGCAATGATCGCCTTGTTTGTGAGATGCTTATGAAGACTAGAAGACAAAGTTTATAAAAGAAGCTAGAAATTTATTATAAGGATGTCAAGCTTTTTGGCAGTGCTCAACATCTCTCCACCATTGATCAAAGTCAAGGCACCAGCTTCTTCAAGAGGAACATCCCATACTGATGGTTCTTACGCCAAAGATAGTGAAAGATCTGGTTGGGTATTCATCATCATTTCATTGAGCAACAAACTTTTGCATGTGGCTGGTTTCTTATGAGCAGCATACGGATTAAGCTGAAAACCACAGAGCAAGCTCTCCTCTAAACTGCACTTGTAGGATGTTAACTGTCTCTGCACTAGTAAGGTAAAAACAACAACCATGGAAGGTCTTTATTGACATTCAGAAGGATTGGGACTGCTGGAAACAAAGTACTGTATGGTATAGCTAGATGGATAATCAGCAGAACAGTATACAGCCAGAAGATTGCTTGTGACATCAGTGAAAAACTCTCTTCTACCTCCTGTGATGCAGATGTTCCCCACATGAGGGATCAGCACCTGTAGGTGTGATCCCTAAGATAGTCACCTGGTACTGAACTCAACACTATGTTATCAAATGATAACTCAGCTATGCTTCCAGTTACTCTTGTGAAAAATCTGTAGATTTCTGCAGATGCCATCTTCATCTACCTGGGTTGTCTACGAGATCAGAGCAAAACCATTGAAATCAGAGATTTGGAAGGTGAGGCAGCAGTGTGATCAAGATTGAGCTGTCCTTGCCTCTTAACTTATTTAGATTAGCACAATGTATTTCACATACAGCAAAAACATAAGATGTACTTGAATGCCTGTACAATAATATCAAGCATTGTAACAGCAGAATTAGTATTATACTTGTTGGAGAATGTACTGGTTATAACTGCATATTGAAATAAATATATTAAGGATGAGAAGTATTTTTATCTTATTTTGCATCTACTGTAATTTCATATAAAGTTACTTTAGTACAAATAAAAAATATTGTTACTGGGTTATCTTTTAATATTATCTATTTAAAAAGAAATATCTGTTGTAGGTCTATAATGCATACTTATTTATTTAACTGAATCCAAATAGACAAGCTTAAAGGAAGTAAAAAAAAACAACGTACATTAGATGAGCTATTGATTTCAAATTAATCATGTATAATTTAAGCTTTTCCAGAATTATGCTTTAAAACTTTGTTTTTATAAAAGGTTTAATAATTTGATTTTACTGCTGCCATGTGGTGAAGTATTAAAGTGTCCAGCCAGGCCAAAATCTACTTAGTATATCTAATTTTACTAAATAATATGAAACAACTAGCCTAAAGATTGACTCATTTCACACTGTTACTGATATGAGAAGTAGAAATATCAACTGACAACTTCATTTAAACAACTACATTTAAACAAATTTAACATTTGTCTTAGTTTGTTACATCAATCCACTAAGTTCAATTGAAACTTGTTTCTCAAGTTAGGCAAGGTGAAGTGATTGTATCAATGAATATTCTTGTTATTCACTAGCAGTTGTGTTTTTGTGTAACATCTGTTGCATTTGGCAACCTCAAATCCCAGACCAATTTTCCTCAAATTTGCTCTTGGCTTATTATAGTTTTAAGGAAAATTTTCACAGGATATAAAAAAAAGCATGTTCATGTTAATCCTCTTTTCACATGAATTGAGATTTTTCTAGGAATCATTAAGCAATTTAAAAATGAGCATATATCACTTAATGCTCAGACAAAATATTAAAGGAATGCTTTTTTTAAGTTTACATACAACTGAAATAATTTTACTTGACAAATCAGATGACTTTTTTGGAAGCAGGAAAAAGAAAAATTGGCAATGAGATATGCAACCTCTTCTATGTAATTGTAAAATTGTAAGCATTAAGTAATAAATCTTGTATTATGGCTAATAACAGTTGAAATGTTAATACGAAAATTCTTTAAAAAATCAATTATTTATTAAAGAGAATGAACTCACAATCGAAAAAATAATTCCAGACCCAGACTTTTACAAACTACATATTTGAAACTTCAAAACTTTTTTAACTCCATAATATAACCTTGGAATAAGCAAATTTATGAAGAAGAATCAAGAAAAAAAAAAAAAAACAAGTTGGAAATTATCACAAAAATTGCTTAACAACACATAATTCACAGTAACCTAAGTGTGTAATTTGCATAATATTTAATCCCTTGTCTTTTGATGTCTGGCTTCAATTTTCTTTTCTTTCATACTTTTACTGTCTACTGGATGAAGAAATTACAATTCAACAGGGTTAGAAATAAAAATACATTCACTCAAGGGAAAGCTATCAGGAAAATTATGTTCCGTCGTGTAAAGTTGCATTTCCTCACAAATTGTTTGTTTAATCCATCCAGTATGTTCACTTTCATTGGTCATAACTAAAGGAATACATATGGACCATGCATTCCTGATCAGGAAAGCTAACTAAAAAAGATGAAATTCCTCAGGAATGTAATATTTTGATCCCTGTTCAAACACATTATTACTATTGGCTGGTGACAGAACATCTGATCAACTTGTTTACATATTGTGATATACTTATTCACCTAACTTTGTGGTTGAAATTATTTATGAGGAAATATCTCGACACAATCCAGTTTAGGTTATTTGTCTCATTGCTAAAATTAGCTGAGGGAAACAAGCTGACATTTTTTTTATAAAAATACCCTCAAGACAGCTAAACTAAATGACAGATAAAAATGTGTAAAACATAAGCATAATGAATAAAACAAAAATGGGGGAATACCATCTCATAGTGATATTCATTTAATCTTGGTTTAACAAAGAAAGAAATGATACAACTACAAAAAAAAAATTATAAACCGTGCTTCGAAGATCTGTTTCTAACTGTTGTTTCCTCCACCATGTGCATACTGTAATAACAAGCATTATGCATCTGATGAAATACATAGTAAAATATCAAAATATATTCATGTTCTAGTTCTCTTAGATTGAATTGTTTTCTTTTTCTTTTTGGTTCACATGGGTAGTTTAGTTGTGAGTTTATACTTCCCTATTTATAATTAGAAGTTTATTTAATATGATTATTTTAACTAGTTTTGAATGTAGTTCCCAGTGTTCATAGGAAAAACACATCAAAAAGTTTTCTGTTCTGATATTTAAATAAAGGACATGTAAACACCAGGAATCTTGGGAAATAACTATGTTATTGTCTATGTATTATTTTATATTTGTAATTTTTGTTTGCCTTAACTCTAGTGTTTTCATTCTGATTTTTCATGATTGTTCTATACTTGAATTCATAGGTTTTACGTTACGGAAAACACATAATGCCACACCTTGCTCGTCTATGCCTAGTCAGTACCTTCATTGAAGATGGAATAAGGATGTGGCTGCAGTGGAGTGACCAGCAAGAATTCATTAGGACAAGCTGGAACTGTGGATGGTTTTTAGCTTCAATTTTTGTATTATTTAATTTGGTGGTCCAGCTTGGAGGATCAGCTATGGTGTTGATTCGTCAGAAGGTAGAAGTGGCCTGTGGGCTCCTGTTTTCCATTGTGGTTTTGCAGGTAATAATAATGATTTTAAATATTTTTGAGTTTTAAAACATTGATGATATCTACATCACCTCGGTTGATCTTTTAAAACTGTTTAAGAGGATAAATGTGGTAAAACATTGTACATGTAGTAATGGTTTTGCTGTGATGTTAGACCAAAACAAAAACGTTTTTATTTTCTGTCTTATGCAGCTTTCCCTAAAAAATATGCATTTTGAGTTTTAGCAAAATTATGTACTGAACCAGTGTTATTTCATGACCTAGAATTAAATATTTTAAATTCTGAGATAATACCTCACCATCATCACACAGATTAACTATCTTCCTCGAGTATCTGCCAGAGAGATTTCCATGCCACTAGCCTTGAGGTAACTCCTACCCTTTTTCACTTGATTGTATGTGAATTGAGCTTTTGCATGCTGATGTCATCATGCAAAAGTCCTCCACCAATAGAAGGGCAGCACACCTCCATGCACATTAATTCCCCTATGCACTTGCACTCATAAAACTTCATTCTTCTCTTCAGCATTGTGTTGATCAGACATGTTTAGATTTCTTGTATGAGTTCAATTTATTGAGATTTGCATTGGCTCTTGTTTCAAAAGCTTTATTTAGTTTTTGTGAATTCTCAAATGATGGTGATTAATACTTAGTCCTGAGTGAGTGACATTGTTTACATTTAGGCCTTATTTCTACTATGGCTTTTGGAGGCTTGTTAGTTTTCAGGGTCATTGCAGCCATTGTTCAATGTGTTGTGGATTACCACATGCTTAATGAGCTTCCTGCTCCTATTTTATCAGCCAAATATCTTTATCCTCAGTCAGGAATGATTTCTTGGACTACAACCTTCACCTGATTTGCTTTGGGTAACATCTTACCATTCCTGAAACAGCCTTAACCCTTCAATCTATTTCTGGATTTCATTATCAGGTATTTTTCTTTCTTTATCCTTTGCCTGTGTTCTTTATTATTTCTTGTTTTCTTACTCCCTGATCCATGGTTTTTGGAGTTTATTTTTTCTCTTTGCTTGTTATTAGGATTTATACTGTTTCCTTTCTCTTATAACTCTTTTTTTTTCTCATGCCCACATGCATGATTGACTTGGTCCTGATGTGTAGATTTTCTTCATTTCCCTTTCTTGTTTTCTGTCATTGGTATCTGTTTAGCCAGCTTCTGTATCAGGCCCCTTACCTTCTATTTCACTTTCTGGTTCTTCATGTTCTTGTTTTCATCTTTTTCTCTCTACCATCCTTTATTCTCTTCTATTGACTCCACTTGTTCTCTGCAACACTTCATGATTCAGATGAACTTCTGTAGATGTTTGTTCTCTTTTCTGTTTGGCTTGTTCCACTTCTTCTGCTCTATCATTCTGTACTTTGTTCCTCTGCTGTTGGACTTGTTATGTTGGGCTATTTTCCTCTTTACTGTACTCCTTCCTTCCTTCTTGTGTAATTGTTATTTGTTTGGCTTCATCTCTTTACCTGGATACCTTCAGAGGGGGTTCTTTCTTCCACACATCCTGAACTGATATTATATGGTTTCTCTCCTTGTTATCTTCCCAGGTTATTTCTTCTGTATTATCTTTGATCTTTACTCATATATCTTGTCCAGATCAGTCTAATCCTAACCTTCCTGCTCCAGATTTCAGGCCTTCCTCTTTTTTTCTTCTTCTCTTTCCTCTCCCAGAAGTTTAGTTCATCATTCTTCTTTTCAGTGAATTTTACACATTCACAATTCTGTAGATGCTCACCTCCTCTCCTGCTGTCAGTCTCATCTTCTAGTGACAGTCCTTTTTCATTTCTCTTCCTTGGTTTCTTTCCTTGTTCCTATGATCTTTATTTCTCTTTCCATTTCCTCTTCACCTCCCATCAACCCAATGTGTGGTTGGTCATGGTCTGTGTGTCAGACACCATTCTATACTTTACTCTTGGCCAGTCCTATTCTTATACATCTGAAATATGAATTAGTTTCATTTATTCTCCAGTTATTTTGTGATGCTTGTATGTTATCCTGGTTTTGAAGTACATATGTTAATTTATTGAGAACTTGTGTCATTTAATTGTATGGATAAAGCACTTCATTTGTAGTACAACTTTTGTCTGTCTCTTGGTGAAAAGAGTATCTGTAAACTTTCAACTCAAATAGATGGAATCATTACAAATTCCCAAGGTAAGAAAAGATAAAGAAAATTTAATAAGTTGTGACACAGATGACCAAGTTAATTTCATATCTGTGAAATGGAGTTAGAATTATTAAAGTTTAATATTTTAGTAGTTTTGTGACATGAGATGGTAAGCATATTTCTGTTTTTGAACAGTTCACAATGAATCTAATAATGAAAGCCATTGATATATGCAGGAATATTTAGGTTTTTCAAGCCTTGAAGAAAAACTATTTTTAAATATGATAAGTATAGGTTCATTTTTCTGATAAATACGGAATCAACATTAGAAGTATAATGCTTGTTATATAACCCTAAATTAACTCTATTTGTACACTGGGAGACATCTCTTTCTACACTCTAAGGTTCTCCACAATTACAGCATACTTTTTTATTTTATCCTAATTAACATTAAAAAAGATTCACAGTGCCTACTCACTACTTACATGTATGCTTTGTATCCACTCAGCTCACACAAGTTTATATATTCAGTAATTTTTTAAACTTTCGTCAGAGATTTTCAATCATTATTAGTGGCATAATCAGAATTCCATTTATAGAAGCAAAGATAGCGATGAAACTGTCCTTGCTTACATTAACAAGCTATAGAAGCAAGATCTATATTTAAATAATTAGTACTATACAAATTTATTACAACACTTTGATTAATATATGCATTTTTAATTTTACAATAAATCACCTACATTGAATTGAAAGTATATACTGAAAATGTTTCCTGAAAAAAAACAACTGGTTTATTAAAAGGGGGAAGAAAAATATTTTTTTAAATCTATTTTGTATATTTTTTCCTGTTAATCATGTGTGCTTGAAAAATAGCTCATGGTTCATATAACACATTAACATAACAAGTGAAATGTTTCTTCAATTAGTGGTATATGTTATGTGTATGTAGGCAGTTTTGTATCATACTATAATATTAGTGATTCTTGTTTCTAGACAAATTATAGCAACAAACCTAGCTACATAAACAGCTTACATATCTGTGTTACACAATCTCATTCACGTATCTTCGGTACACACTTCTAAAATTTTACTCCTTCACTTTGCTGGAAAACATGTTGATGAGGTTTCCTGCTTGTCAAACTTTCCTTTCATTCTCTGTCTTTTCTTAGTGATTGAAAGAAGGTATAATTATTATTGGTTTACCTATTTGTAGGTTTATTTTGTTTTCATTCACAATGAGGGAAAATTTTTTAGTATTAGAGGTGGTTCCAAAGTTTGCACTTATAGTAGCTCATATCAAAAATATGTCCTCTATGATATGGCTGATTTTTCCAAGCCCGTTCCCTTGGCTGTGGTTTCGCTAGATAGTATTATAGGGACAGTGGGAATCTCGTTAATCTTTCCCAATGAATATATAAGCATGATAGTGTGTCCTCCAGCGGCTCAGTGTTAAGGCTGAGGGCTTATAATGATAAAAACTGGGTTTCAATATGCATGGTGAGCAAAATACAGGTAGCTCATTGTGTAGCTTTGTGATTAACAACAAAACATACATGGCACTGTACTAGTTCATGTTAGAAAACTGTCTTTTACATTATCTGCTCCTTTCTGTAAGCCCCCCAGTGGCACGGCAGTATGTCTGTGGACTTACAACACTAGAAACCGTGTTTCAATACCTGTGGTGGGCAGAGCACAGATAGCCCATTGTGTAGCTTTGTGCTTAACTTCAAACAAACAAACCTTTCTGCAAATTAACGTGTCTTTCATATTGGATAGATAAACATAGCATGGCTACAGTACCTCACATCAAAAAATGTTTCTCTACATCATCCGAAGTTTCCAAACTTCCAACTCATGATCCACTCGAGTAGGCAGCAATTTTTTGGGACCTATATTCAAGTGGGGTGGGGGATATTTATTATATTTCAGTATTATCTAGTAGTACTCATATATTTTGTTTTGTTTATTTAAAAAACATTTTAGAATAATTATTTTATAAATAATATTAAAATTAAAATGTTTTTGTTAGTGAAAAAATGGAAATTTTACATTTGCTTAAAAAGACATTTAACAATAGTACTTTCTTTTCCATTTTCATCAGCTATTCTGTTGTTATATATATATTTTTTATTTACAGACATTTGCTTATAACCTAGTGTGGAATGTTCAGTTTTTGCCAAGGTAAGTTTCATACATTCCATTCAAGATTCAAGCTAGAATTGCAATTTTTTTAAAACTTTAGAGAATTCTTTCACGATCACTTCTTTATTAAATTTTTGCTGAAGTTAACCTTAAAAACTTTAAATTGTGTTTTTTTTTACAATTATGTCACTGTTTTCCATAGAGTAAAAACCATTTGAGCAGTAAATAACTAGAAACATGATTAAAATAGAGTAGTGCTTGAAGTTTTTATATACATTTTACTTTCAATCTCTTTTGTCCTGCAACATACATGTTCTTTTGCTTCGTATCTAA